CACAGCACAAGCACCAGCACCGGCGCCCGGCACCAGCACGAGCAACTTGTCTCCACCACGCGCGCAGGAGCACCGGCACCAGGCACCAGAACCAGCAACCTGCCTCCACCGCGTGCACAGCCAGCTCACAGCACCAGCACCGGCATCCGGCACCCACCACCAGCACCGGCACCTGGCACCAGCGCCCGGCACCAGCAACTTGTCTCCACCACGTGCACAGCCAGCTCACAGCACCAGCACCAGCACCGGCACCAGCACCAGCACCAGCAACCTGCCTCCACCACGTGCACAGCCAGCTCACAGCCACGTGCACAGCCAGCTCACAGCGCCAGCACCAACACCGGCACCGGCATCTCCACCACGCGCACAGCCAGCTCGCAGAACCAGCACCAGCACCACCACCCGGCCACAGCCAGCTCACAGCGCCAGCACCAACACCACACCCAGCACCAGCACCGGCACCAGCAACCTCTCTCCACCACGTGCACAGCCAGCTCACAGCACCAGCACCAACACCAGCAACCTGTCTCCAAAGTGCGCACGGGCAACTCATTGTTATTTGAAGTAAGACCCCCATAGCTTTGCTATCTGGGGAATCGACTAAGCGCTTTCGTGTCCCCACACGTATCTTCCGCGGTGCAACTACTGCGTTTCAATGTGCTTTGGTGTCCTTGCAAACTTGCTTCCGACATGTAAGAGAGTGATACAACATGGAAAACACATAGTTTTTATGTATCAGGTATGCCTGACTGTATTTCTATGAAAATGAATCAAACTTTTTATTTCAATAGTCTATGGCCAGTACGTTTTTTTTGGCTGCATCATTTGCAAGCTAAATGTAATGGCGTATAGTCTATTGTCTACTGTACACAAGTCGAAAAATATACCCATCCGTATCCGTCCGTCATGTTTAAGTGGTGTCTCGGTGATGATTTGGTATCTTGCTCACGTTTGCCTGGTGTCTCCATCATGTTTAGGTGGTGCCTCGGTCATGTTAGGCGATGCTTCGGTCATGTTTAGGTGGTGTCTAGGTCACCTTTAGAGATGAATGCAGGATGAAGTGGATCACTCCATTTTGGACCCTCTTACAAAGTGTTTGCAAGCATTGTTGGCCACGCAAGCGTGAGGAAGATACCAAAACATCACCGAGACACCACCCAAACATGATTGAGACACCGTACAAACATGAACTAGATCAACTAGATACCACCAAAACACGACCGAGACGCCGCCTAAGCATGACCAAGACACCGCCTAAATATGACCGAGACACCGCGACACCACCGCCCAGGCCGGGGGCCATCTATAAGGGGAAATAAATGTGAGAACAAATCAAACTTGAGGCCAAGGGGGGGGCGAAAGCTAGCGCTCCAGAATGGGAAAGTGGAGGGCAGCGAGGTAGGAAAAAACACGGCGCTCTTTTTGGAGGCAGGGGTGAAGAGTCCTTTATATGTGGCTCTTTGCCCGGATCCTCCTGCGAGAGAAGAGAGAGAAGAGAGACGGAAAGACGAGAGACAGAGAGGAGAGAGAGAGAGAGAGGAGAGAGAGATGAGAGAGATGAGAAAGAGATGAGAGAGATGAGAGAGATGAGAGAGACAGTGAGACAGTGAGAGAGTGAGAGTGAGAGTGAGCGAGTGCGGCCGCAAGATACGCAACGCTAACCGCATGCCAAAGAGCGACGACAGGACGGAGTCGAACTTGCGAAGAGGGAGGAGGGAGGGAAGATGGGAGGAAGACAAGGAGGAGGAGAGGGGGGGGGGTCTTCGACCTGAAAAATCAGGGGTTAGGATTTGCACCCGGTCGAAAGAAACCTTGCTATCGCAAGAGTAACTCCAGCTAGCTTCGCTAGCTTTCGTGACATTACCCCCACCCACCCACCCATCTGCAAACATGCCAGAAAACCACAACGTTCATCCAGGTTCTTAAAAATTACACCAACATAGACCCAGATAGCTAGGCAGAACCCTTCACTGTCAGAAGCGGCGGTTGTTATCCCTTCACTGTCAGAAGCGGGCACCAGCACCGAGCACCGGCACGCCAGCTCACGGCGCCCAGCACCAGCACCCAGCACCCAGCACCGGCACCCTGTCTCCACCGCACTACCACACAGCACCGGCACTGGCGCCCGCTGTCTCTACGCAGCACCCAGCACCCTCCACCACGCGCACAGCCAGCTCACAGCACCCAGCACCAGCACCACAGCACCAGCACCGGCACCCAGCACAGCGCCGGCACCAGCAACCTGTCTCCACCACGTGCACATCCAGCTCACAGCACCAGCACCGGCACCCAGCACCATCAACCCTTTTTCCACCCCCTGCACAGCCAGCTCACCAGCACCAGCACCCGGCACCGGCAACCTGTCTCGAAAGCGCGCACGGGCAACTCATTGTTATTTGAAGTAGGAACCCCATAGCTTCGCTATCTGGGAAAAAACTGGCTACTGAGCATACTGTCTACTGTATACTATTCCACGTTCTCTGACCTGGTGCCAAAAAACAGTACTTACTGTAGTACTTCCTAGAACCCCCACTGAGTCTCTCCAACATTGGGGCGCAACGCGCAATGTGACTGTGGGATGCGCTTTGGTGACTGCCAACATGCAAAAACCACAATTGTTTGTGTGTCACCGGCAATCGAACGAAACAATTGGACTCAATCGGTGTGTCCCACCTGCCGCCATCTCACAGACCCGGCCAGCAGTTGCAGGCTTCGGCTCTCCGGGCCAGTGCTCCTGACCTATGAAAAGAGGGAACAATGCCACTCCAACCCAACGCTTGACAATTGCACATGGTTTAACAAGTCATGAGTCCTGAGATCTTGCAGAAATATTCTAGCAGTCTCGCCTTCTGGTCGGCACCAGCAAGCACTGAACACGCCTCACAATTGCAATTCATGATCATCAAGGGCTCACTCAACTCTACCAGGTCCCAGCCCAATGTTACTTTTTGTAAACCATCTGTCGCTCTTTACCCGCGACCTTCTTTGGGTCGGGGGATGGGTGGCCTTGATTGTCCAGGCTGCAAACAAGGTGGAAATGTTTTTGGGATCTTCGATGCTCGTGTTGGGTGAAATGCCATAGATATTCTGCAAACGCTTTGGGACGAGTCAGAGGAAAGCACGACAGGATAGTACCCAGCTCCAAGTCCAGTGGGCACAGCCGGCCCATCTTCAACCAGCAAGTCCAGCGAAGCATTTCTATCGGGCAAGCGCCAACCTCCAAATTCATTGACATCTGCAGGGTCAAGAAGCAAAAGCTTGCCAGTTGGCAACCTCACGTCAGCCACGCGAAATAGCGCTCGGCATTCATCGTGCGCGCCAAGGGACGCTACCAGATTTTCTGAATCATTTCGAACCAAGGCCGCAAACTCCACTCGGATTCCAGCAGCCCTGTCCAAAACCCATCCAAAGTCGGCAAGCCTGGCAACTAAAGTCCAGTCCGACCCAGGCTGACCGGTGTCAACACAGCATCCGTGAAAACCGCCAACATTACCAGGCCGCCCCAATGCATCATAACAGCGCCAATCCTCACCAACTGCCTTGTGATATTGACCGGGTAGCACAAGCTCGGCCAAAGCATCTGAAACAGGAAGGAAGCAAACTTTGCCAGAGTCGCTCGAACACCAAAAGTCTGGTGAGAAAAATGGCCACTCGGAACTATGTGGCTGGTTGACGTCTCTTCTATCCAAATACCAGTCCGGTGTCAGCAAAGCATACGCATCTTCGAAGAGCATTTCAACAGCAATGGCATCAAGACGCCGCAGGTTGACCGACGAAAAAATCTCTTCTGAAGTGAACAAGGCATATTTCTCGTATCTCTCAGATGACCTTTTCGAGAAAATCTCTGCAGAAGTGGCACTCACGGGTCTGACGGGTCTTGGACGACTTGCTCTTGAATTGCGCTCAGAGCGCTCAGAGCACTCTGAGCCAGAGCGCTCAGAGCCAGAGTAAACAAAGTCAACAGAGTGAACAAAGCCAGATTTCGATGAAGATCCAGGATCATGACACCTTGGGGCGGATTGCCTTTCCATTTCTCTGGCAAGCTGCTGAAGATTGGTGGATGAATTGGAGTATGTGTGCACGTACAGTGTGCAGCACACCCCTTTCTGATCCTCTGATCTACACCCCGAAACGATAAACACCTACAGTAGTTGCCCAAAAAAATATGTCAAAATGGTGCAAACAATTTCTTGACTCTGACATGACTAGCCGTGTAAGTCAATAAGCGAGCCAAATGCACATGACTGAAGTCAGCCAAAAGGGATTGCTTCTTAGGTTCTATGGATTCTATGGTTTTCTGATGCATGAGTCAAGCTTCGCAGTGACTTAATGCAACTGCGTAAGTGAAGTGTGGCGTGGAAGAATGGCAACACCAAACATATCAGAGGCAACGCTCCTTTTGCTCACATGAACTCCAACAGCATCTTGCGTTTCCAAGACCTGCTTTGGCAAAGGCCTCTCAACGTGCTCATGGGGTCTAGCAGGCGAAGTGCAAGCAGGTCTTCTGGGAGGCTTTGCAGCATTGGCTGTGAGCGCTGCTCAATTCGCTGTCGCGCTGGACCACCCCACTCGTCAGAGCCTTCACAGTTGTGGCCCATGGCATCGCAAAACAATCGAAATCTGGGGCCGCTTTGGCGGGGGCCGCTTGGGCTGGAGCCTATGAGGTCTCCAGAGCTCGGGACTGGTCCACTCAGTCCATACGGTCCATGCAAAGCCCCATCAGCAACATCCCGCCCCAATCCGCTGTGATTGCGCGAGTGACCACTGTGATTGCCCATCTTGAGCCACTCCACAAAACATGATGGTCTGAGAATTTCTTTCATGCTTGCCATCGGAGAAACTCAATCAAAAATCCTGCATCTCCAAATGGAAACCTTACTAGTAACCTTACTGGCCTCCAACTGTCAAGCGCAAATTCTTGAACCGCCACACCTGGCGCCGAACTGGAAAAGACTTTGAAGAAAAATTACACCTGCTCGGAAACCCAGGCAGGCGACACTAGATACACCATTCTTTGCATCTAAAAAACTGCCAACTAACAAACTACCTTAGACGCAAACCTCTGCCAGGTAGTCTGACGACATTTCAGGCGCCGAAAAGGTGTCCCCTTGCGGAAGGAAGCCCTCCTCAAAAGGCGGCACCAAGTTGCAGTCCCAAATGCATGCATATATATATATATATCTTGCCTAGGCCTTCAAACGCTTAAAACCCTCTTGCTGGCACTACGTCACTACGCCACCATGCACGATGGGTCCCCCACCAGCGCTGCAGTGAGTGGCATGGATGCATCACAAGCCTGACACCAAGTTCAAAAACCAGAGTGCATTTCCATGGATAGGTCGCGTCGCCCCATGTTGCAGTTATATAATATCGAGCGCCCAATATCTACTACAAAATGCAGGGCGTCCAAAATCCAGGCCCCAGACCAAAGGTATGTTACTACTACAAATTGAACTGCATACCTCAGCACACCTTCGCTCGTGTCCCCCAGTTTCTGCGAGTCACACTTGGTCCGGACTACCTGAGAAAGGAGGAGACAAAAACCAGCCTCTGAAGAAGACATCAATATGGTCACGGGGGGCGAATGCGAGAGCGCACTGGAAGCATTGCAGCATGGGGAAATAGAAGGCAAAGGTGGGAAGTCTCTCCGTGACAGGTGGAGGGGTGGGTTGCCCTTTTCTTTTGTTTTGGGAGAGAAAAAGGGACCCCGAAGTAATCGAGGGGCGCTTGCCGGCGGTTTGTTTCACGTGTCTTGTAGCTGGACTCATAAACTCGGCGTTCTGCTAAGAGTGGGTCGATGATCATATGACGGTCCAAGCTGGGGGGAAGATCGCCGTTGATATGGGGTGAATTCGATGTTGCAGTGACGCGCACTGCTGTTGGAATTAGAAAGCAGATGACATAGGTGGGGGGGCTCAAGGACATTTTCAAGGTGAAAAAGGGAGCCTAAGGAATTACGGGCGCCTTCCTGCTGTATCTTCTTCTTGTCTTGTAGCTGGACGCATATACTCGGCGTGCTGCCAAGAGTTAAAGCCAAGATCAAGTGATTGCCTAACATCGGGTCGCTTTGTTATGGGGTGAAGTCGACATTGCAGCAACGCCGACGGGTGGTGGAAATAGAAAGCAGAAGACATAGTTCGGGGGGGCGCCCTTTTTCAGCTTGTTCGTTGTTCGTGTCCTTGTAGATGGAGGCAGAAACTCGGGCGCCCTTTTGCGTCTGGCTAAAAAGAGCACTCCCAAGCAACCCAGCGCATTCTGTTCCCTCTCCTGTCCTCAAGGTCACATTGTTTCTTGCAGTCCCTTCCACTCATTTTATCCACCAGAAAGCAAAGTGTTGGGAGACGCACATATCACTTTCCTGAAGGACCCCCACCCCTGGTCGAAGACTGTTTAAGTAGTCTCCGGAGCCCCTCATGATACGAATGATGCACTCCAGCGTTCCAAAAGCTTGGTTTGAAGCATTTGTTGGTTCATGTAAGCGAGTGGGGCCTGCCAAAGGACGTCACTCAACACCTCTTTCTTTTTTGCTCGGGCCGCTATCCGCTACCCACAACCTTCAACCGGATGTGTCCAACCTGCACAGCAAGTGCAAACAGCCCACTACAAGTCCGAACTCGTGGGACCAAATCTCACCTGCATCTGGTCGGTGGCCCTGCTGCACGCCCTTGCCTCAGTGACTTGCCTCAGTGACCTGCTCCACAAGTCCCTTTCCCCGCCAGAGACCTCCCCGACCGTGCAAAGCGGTGGACTGCTCTGAGGTAGAACAGCTCGGCAGGGGAGAGTCTAAGGAGGTACCAGGAATCAGGCCCTCACTGCACTGGGCCGGAGCTAGCTATGAGCCGTGTCCTGAGTAGTTGGATTTGCCTTTGCTTTGGGGAAACAACCCTTTCTCTTTTGTCCAGGCTGGGTCGGAGGAGCTTGTTGCTGGTTTCCCGCCTTTGGATGTGTCACCTCCAATCGCCCGACCTGTATGTAATCCATCTCTTTGGAGTAAGCCAAAGCAACAGTGGTCCACTGTTGAGGAGCCAGAGATGAAAAGCTTTTTGCTCTGGGGTCGTAGCTTTGGTCGCGGTAACTCCACAGCTGCGATGGGGGTTCTTCCACCAACATCATGCGGTAGGCCAGCTCCCACCGGTTTCCATCCATCAACCCATGCTGCCTCCAGCCATCAGCAAGTTTGGACCCCTTCAAGCAGCGCGCGCACATGGGGAATGTCTGGTCTTCAAAGCCTGCTTGCCACACCTTGTTCCAGCACTTGTGACAACCAAAATTTCTATCCCACACATGCCCTGTATCTCTGGCCATCGCATCCTCCAAGGACCTCTCACCACTTGCCCAGCGCGTCTCTCCTCTTCACGAGCAATGATTTCAGCTCGTCTCACGCTGCGCCAACTTCCTGAACACTTCCAAGCGTCCAGTAAGCTTGTCTTTTGCAGGGGGCACTTTGACAGCAACAGGCTTGAGCTCCCCATTCGTAAAGTGATCCTTGACCCTGGCCCGGTCGCCTTATGTGACCATGGACGAAGCGCTTGCCAGGCTTGCCACGCAGAGATCTCAACTACCACTCCGAATGGGCTCTGGCACCACACGCCATTTGCTGCGCCAGCGCTTTTCGCCTTTTCGCGAAGAGTCAGTCGCTGCTGAACTGGAACATTGTAACATTCTGGGAAGGTCTGGTCATCCGCAGCTTTCAGGCAGTGGTGCAGCCCACTCAGCCCTTCGCCAGTGGCCTGTGTCAACCAGGCCTGAGCCTGCTGATCAAAAGCTGACTTCTTAGCTTGGCCCCTGTTGCGCTCAGCAGCCCTCATCAACAGGGTCAGAGGTGTGGCATCACCAGCCAGCAGCATAGTCACTTCTGTGAAGTCATCAATGCTTGCCATCGAACTGAGATGAAAGGGCACAGCCGCCCCCACGCTCAAACGTCCACGCAACAACACGCTGCAACAAAAACCAAAACTGGCCCCAAGGTGACACCGGCTTGGACTTGGGCAAGGTTTTCATGTAGGGACAAGACTTGGGGCTTGCAGGCGCTGAAAAGCAAACTGCGCAAAATTCTGCACGCTGAATTTCACGAGGAGCAATAATGATGAGCCACACCGTGACCTGTGGAACAGCCGGCAACGGCGCATCCAATTGTCAATGTGCGCTTGCGTGCGGCAACCTCCATCTCTTGACGCTCACTGCCGCTGACAACAACTCTGCAGCAAGTAGGACGCAAGAAGATGATGCCCGTGGGACGTTGAAAACTCCAACTACAAGCCAGGTTGACACCAGCAGAGTCTCTCACCTTTGTCTTTGAAGAACATTGGCCAGAAAACCATGACCCTCGTAGTCAAAGCTAACACGTGCCCACCACTTGTTCCTCCCCTGCCTGTCTCCCACAAGGCGTGCCACCTGGAGCGGTGAAGCTCCCTCAACGCTTGATCAAGCGCGTTGCCATGTAGGTGGGCCTCAACCAAGAGAAGAGCTTTTTGATGCTGCGCCAAGACCCATTCTTGATGTTGGCACAGATCACGTCAGTACCACTTAGTCCTCTTGGCAGCCTTACAAACCCATATCATCACACCTTGGGACATGCTCCGGAATCTCTTTCAGGGCCCTAGGGTGTTCACCATCATCACCTAACCAAGTGGCCACTCAAAAGCACCTCGCCTCGCCTTGATGCGAGATAATGCCTTTCAGCACTGCTGGCATGCCCTATCCGCGTCATCTGAATACACTGAAACGTGGAAGGTGCCACAAGGGCTTGCGACGATGACTTGTCCGGATTCAGTGAAGTAGCATTCACGGAATTAGATACCCCAACATTATTGATCACTTGCCCTCAACACAATTCCCCCACGACAAGGAGTATCTGGCTGCGAGCCCAAGCACCATTATTGTTGAGTCCACCATTGCGATGCGTGACAGCCCCTCTTCACTCTCTGAGCGGGGCGCGGCCAGAGTTCTTACCTCAGCCACAGCCAGTCAACCCCAATCTCACCCGGAGCAAGGCAGCTACAGTTTGCGTGGAGAGCCCCACTGCACGACGGGTCTCTACACCCTTCGTGCGCCTCTTCAGCACGCTCTCACCCGGATGGCGCTCAAGGTCTTTTTGCTGACTGGTGCATAGTGAAGACAATGTCAGCCTGCGCAGTGGCCTTGAGAACACGATCTCCCCCATCTTGGTCCATCTGTCTTGCATGGAGGGTACTGCTTGCTCCTCCTTCAAAAGCTTGGCATACGCCTCCTACTGAGCTGTCAGCTGCTGCTGCTCCTCGTCAATGCCTCCTGCCCCACTTTCAACTTCCAATTCATCAAACTTGTAGGTCTCCTTGGCCACATCAACCTTCTGCAAGCCAGCTTTTTTGTTGGACAGCTGGCGCAACTCTCCAACAGTCAACAGTAACAGTGGCCTTCAACTTCGTCGGGCTACTCCAGATCAACTGCCGGATCTTAGTCTCCCTATAAACTTGTTGCCGGGCCCTGGTGGATGTTCAACTTGAGGTGGCATCCCCGTAGGGTTGACGTGCCTTGTTCAAGGGCCAAGTAGAACTGTGTCTCGATCACTAGAATGGCACAGGTGTAGGAAGGTGGCGGCCGTGCTTGAGCCACCTCCTCTCTCTCCCTCTCTCTCTCTCTCTCTCGATCCTTTCTCTCAGCATCTCCTCTCCATCCACGGCGCTCAGACCAAAAGCGGGGGTGTCAAACAGGCCCCATGACGCAGGCGATGCCCCCCAAACTGCCAGCATTTCCGGCACCCTGGGATGCAATATATCTGCTGCACCAAGCGCTTCCAGCGGCTATCCTGGCCAAAAGCTGGAGCGTCAACCACACCTAGTCTTCCAGCCAAGGATCATTTGCCTTGAAGCTGGGTCAACACTTCCTCAATCTGAGGAAGGAGGAACTCGCAAGGGCATCTGACCACGAGCCCGCTTGCACGGCAAGGTCAGCCAGCGTCCTCTTTTGCTATCCGCCCATTTGGATTGCTTGTCACATCTGTTGCAAGTTACCCACTGGCCTCTTCGATGCAAAGAGTGACTAGGGCGCAAGCGGCCCACAATTGGAAGATAACCTTCCTCAACTGCGCCAAAATGGCAGGTGGACTGACTGAGTCAAAGTCTCCAACGCCGCCCTCCCGCATTTGCGCGGAACACGTTCCCAACATTTGGAGCAACCAAATGAGCTCTGCTTGAGATACCATCTGTGGCCAGCTCGGTCTTCAGGCACATCAACAGTGGCCTCCACAAGCTGTTGAAGGGTGGTATCCAAAGTCTGCTGTGCCCGGCCGGAACATGGTTCAGCTTTCCAATTGCGAGCAATCTCTTCATCAGTGCCACAACCTTTGATCCGCTTCAGGCACAAATTGCAGCGTAAGCCATTGCGAAACAATTGCCAGTGCGCCCACCCTCATTATCCTCCTGACTCAATCGCCGGAAAACGTCAACCCGACCTATCTTCTTGTTCAAGGGCCAAGTAGAACTGCGTCTCGATCGCTAGCAAAGGTGAAGGCACCTTTGATCTTGCGGACCGCAATGGCACAGGCGACGACGACGACGACCACCGACGACCGACGACCGACGAACTACGAACTACGAACTAGGAACTACGAACTAGGGACTACGAACTACGAACTGCGAACTACAATACTACTACCACGACTACGACTACCACTTGGCCGAGTTTGTGCCACAAACATTCCTTAGACAAGCGTTTCTGAACTGAAAGAAGTACACGACGAATGTCCCAGAGTCCGTGGCTGGCAGCTGGCGACGCAATGTCTTTTCCACCGAGCTGTTTGGGCGTGTAACAACGGTCTTTGCGTAGAGTCTGTTTGGCCGGGCAAAGTCATACCAACACGTCTCCTCCATTCCATTGCAATGTGCTTGATGAGGTTGCGGCTGCAGAACGCCGGCACAGAACTTTTCTACACTCGCTTGACACTTGTGTTTCCTTGCTGGCCACATCAACGAACCGCCAGCAACCAACCAGCACACAAAATGACCGGAGCCAAAAATACCTTCACAGAACTGCTGGGAACACAAAACACCTTGACGGAATTGCCGGGAACAAAAAACACCGTGGCGGTAACAAAAACACCTGGGAACACCATTCCAGGAAAAGGAAACATGGCGGGAACAAACACACCAAGATAGTCTATACCCCAATATGAGGTTCGCGCCAGCATTTGAAGCATGTCAAAACGACAGGATGTTACTACAGACACCTTTGTTTGCTTGAGCTCAGAAGTCCTGTCCGACAAAATGCCTTCCAAGTCTCCAAATCAGTCATATCTCATATCCACCACAAGAGGGTTCTACAAGGTGCTAGCACATGCACAAAAACATTCTTGTGAGAGCCTTGAGGTCAAACATGTTGTAGTGGGAATGGCAACGGGGATTTTCACTCAAGTTCCGCGGCGCAAGTGGAGCGGCTGTGCACTTGTCCAGTTTCGGGCCTCACCGTCAACGATGAGCGGTTGACCTGAGTTGGATGATTCACGCGACAAACATCCGAGATACAGTGCATACGGTCGGAAAGCCACAGATTGTCGTAAAAGAAAAACGTAAGCAAAAACGGGTAGTACGCAAGCCAGTCCAACCATGTCAAGGCTCAAGTTCAAGTTCCTGAAATCCAAACTCCAAGGTTCAGAAATTTCTTCAAATTGTCAACTTCCAAGAAAAGATGCGTGACTGGAATACGAGAACCGATGCCTGACACCCGCACACACTTATAGAAATGCGTACTGATGTGAATGCGGTTTGGCGCATGCCGGCCTAAGTAAAAAGCTATGAAAACAGGGTTTAGACCTCCACAACTCGCAAATCTCAAGCCTCCAAAGCTCTAGGTTCCAAATGGCAAGGACCGCGAAATGATCGACTGACAAGGACGACGGAAACGTGCAAAGTCTGCAGGTTAAGAGCTGCGAAGGCCTCCAAAGCTCTCGGCAGATCCAAGGTAAATCGTCGATACTGCAGAGACACTGAGTGCAGAAAACACACGCCTCCCTGAGGGGAGGCGAGAAGCACTAAGGTCAGAGCAAATGTGTGAGCGCGTGCGCAGTGAGACAAAAGAATGAAGACATAGAGAGGAGACAAGATGGGACAAAGGTGTGTGTGGCTGCAATGAAAAGGAACCAAGTGCACAGGGACAACCGATGACAACCACCTCATTGCAAAGACCTGGGCGACCTAAAGCCTGAGTTGAAAGTAGGTGGTGCGTGTACATACTAAGGGCCGAGCCATGTGTACGCAAAAGAAGGAAAGAGATGAGACGACAGGAAATGAAGCAAGGGAAGACATGAAAGAAAAGAAGAGAAAAGAAGTGTGCCAAATGGAAAAGGATGAAAAGGGAACCAAATGGTGGGGACGGGAACCGATGAAACCAAACCTCATTCCAACGACCTGGGAAAACCTGCCTCGTTTGATTGTACATGCTGTATGTGCACCCAAGGTTGCGACAGGCTCCAATGGACCTAAAAGTACCACGGTCGCTCTGAACACGTAGAGGCATTAGCCAGCTTGGACCGCTGCGATCACGTTGTGGCATAGAGCAAGCTTGGAGTTCAATAATTCATCAAGTCTTGGCAATTAACTTTGGCCGAGGCCACCTACGCTCGCTGCGAGCTGCTCTGTATCCGGGCAGGGGATACAATCGACAAACCCCCATTCAACGGGTTTTCAGGGCACTCTACGGGGTCACCCTGGGCTGGCATGAAGCCAAACACACTTTTTGAACGCGTACTGATTTGGTTGCGGTTTGCCTCGCACCCGCCTAACTGAAAACCTAAGAAAACAAAACAGGTATAAGTACGGTGGCCCAAACCTCCTCAAAACCTGTGCAGCCTTCAACTCTAACTCGACAAATCCAAAGCGACAATGCACCTCTGCCGATGATGAACCGATGCAAAGGCTGGATATCTTGTTCTAGCTACAAAGGGGCCCAGAGGGAAATGAGTGGCGATCATCTTCTCGCAGGTACGTGCAATCTGCGTCCAGATTGCATATCACAGCAAACTTGAAGTGTCTTCGTTGAGCGGTGACTTCAAGAATGCCCACCGCTCCCCTGCTTATACTATCAATCAAACCTAACAATCCAACAGGAACCTTATGACTCCAAAGGTTACACACACACACACACTCATGGATATGCGTACTGACTTGATAGCGGTGCCACACGCCAGCCTAAGAAACCCAAATCCTGAAAAACCAGGTGAGGTCCATCAGCTCCAAAAGAAACGCCGAGCGAACGAACGACAAGGTGACGACGTGCGTGCAAAAGGCCAAAAACGTCGCCACTGAAGGAAACAACGAAGTAGACAGCTTGTGCTCTACGTAGGTTTCTCTTCAAGCAGGTACGTCAATCCGGCGTCCCGGATTGATTTCACCAGCACACATCCAGTGTCTTCGTTGGTGCAAGACTGGATGGGCTGCTTGCACCCCCTGCTAAAATCCGAAAGGATCCCTATGATTCCAAGGGTTACACACACACGCCTCCCCGAAGGGAGGCATGTGTGACCTCCATCCTGCCCGGAAAGGAGGTAGGCACATGTGCACGCAAAAGAGACAGATGAAAATGAAAAGGACAAGACAGACAAAGGTGTGTGTGGTTGCCGATGAAAAGGAACCAAGTGAAGAGGGACAACCGATGAGCCAAACCTCATTGTAACGAACCTGGGCCACCTGAACCTTGCTGTAAGTAAAGTACGCGTGCGTGTATGTGTACAAACTAAGGTCCGGACGAGAGTGCGCGCAAGAGAAAGAAAGGATGAGGATGAAGAGACGTGAAGACAGAAAGACATGAAAGAAACGAGGAAAAAAACGGTCTGTGGGGGCCGATGAAAGGGGAACCAAATGAACGGGAACAAACCGATGACAAACCAAACCTCATTAGAAAAACCTGTTGCAGAAGCCTAGTTTGCTTGTAAACACGCCCCGCGCGAGGAAAGAGGGGGCAGGGGGAGGAAGAAAAGAGAGGGAAAGAAAGAAAGAGACAAAGGTGCTCCCAGCTACGACACATGCGTCCAGGGACACACCAAAAAGAAGGGCTCCCAGCTATGACGAAGCATCCAGGGACACCCAGGGAGGAGGGTGAGGAGAGGAAAGAGAGAAGGAAAGAAAGAGAGAGAGCGAGAGGGAGAGGAAAGGAAGGTGTTCCCAGCTACGAACAATCGTCCAGGGACACACCCAAGAAAGAGAGGGGTGATCCTGAGTATTGCATTCAGGAAAACCCCAGAAAGCAAAGAAAGAAAGGGGAAGGGAAGGGGGAGAAGGGGGGGCTAAGTGCTCGACAGGTCCCAATGGACCTTGAACAGACTTTGGTCGCTGCGACCACGTACGGCTTGCCCGAAGGCTGCCACCTTTGACCGCTACGGTCACGTAAAGGCATGAGCCAGCTTGGAATTCCAAAGATGAGACATAAATCATCGGACGTACGGCCTAGGCCACCTACGCTCGCTGCCAGCTGCTCTGTATCCAGGCAGTGGATACGTTCGACGTACACCCGTTCAACGGGTCCACGGGAGGCACTCTGCGGGCTCATCCCGGGTTGGCACGAAGCCAAACACACTCATGGATATGCGTACTGACTTGATAGCGGTGCCACACGCCAGCCTAAGAAACCCAAATCCTGAAAAACCAGGTGAGGTCCATCAGCTCCAAAAGAAACGCCGAGCGAAAGAACGACAAGGTGACGACGTGCGTGCAAAAGGCCAAAAACGTCGCCACTGAAGGAAACAACGAAGTAGACAGCTTGTGCTCTACGTAGGTTTCTCTTCAAGCAGGTACGTCAATCCGGCGTCCCGGATTGATTTCACCAGCACACATCCAGTGTCTTCGTTGGTGCAAGACTGGATGGGCTGCTTGCACCCCCTGCTAAAATCCGAAAGGATCCCTATGATTCCAAGGGTTACACACACACACTCTGACATTGGTTTTCAGTTAACTCAATTCCCAGGTGAAAGAAAGGCGAGAGAACCGCATGGCGAAAGGTCCACGAAATTTGTAGGTGTTTTAACAAATGGTTTCTTGCGCATCTGCAGAAATCACAACAGCAGCTCACGAGCCGCTGAAGGCGGCTGAAGGGAAAAGGTTTAGGGGAAGTATCGTGGAACCACCATGAAAGCAACAAAAAGAGAGATTGGAACAGCGTGGGCAAAAGTTCCAAACTGTCGCAGGTACGTTCGGATGATCAGTCCGAATATCCCACTCTGTGACCTAGCTTCGTTGAACTGGGTCAGTCACAGAGTGCCCAGTTCCCCTGCATATGCACGAAAACAAAAGGGAAAGGAACTCTTAGTAACAGAGGTTGACACACACACACACGACGCCGAATCCGGCGCCCATGTTGCATGTGGCAACTGTTTTCTGTGGTTTCTTCAAGAAGCGCTCGCAGTCTCTTGCTGCGTGCCCCTTGAGGACGTAGAGGCGCACTAGCTCATCGGCCGCTGCAGTTGCGCGTTGTGGTGGGAAAGTGTATGCGTAAATTGCGTGGAGTCGAGATGCCAGTCCCGACAGGGTGAGTCGTTGGCTGCCTGCGCTTGTGGAGTCCCTGATCTTCCAGGGTTGAGTGGGTTGAATGTAGGTGATTGCGCGTTGGAGAAGGTCAATGTTGAAGCCGAAAAAGTGCATGTCATTCAAGCTCGACTGGATCGCCGAAGAAGTTGTGGTGGATGAGTGTTTGGATGGCTGGGCGGGAGAGGAAATGTTCGTCGTGGACGATGAAGCGATTGTCCACATAGCGGTAATAGGTGAAGTGTAGGTCTGAGCGGTGGAGGAGGTTATTGTGGAGCTGGTGCCAGGAGTGTTCTATGAGGGTGATGGCCACATTGCAAAGGGCTGGAGACAGCAGGGATCCAATCCCGGCGCCTCGGATTTGTTTGTAGGTGTAGTTGCAAGCCCGGAAAATACAGGTGTTGAGGGCAAAAGCCACGATGGTGGCGATGTCTGATGTGTGAATGGTGCGTTGTGTGGGATGTGTATGGTGTCTGCCTGTGTGAGAGTGGTGGAAGGGATTGCCTGTGGCTTTGGTATCGACGGTGAGGGTGTGGGTGGATTGCTGGATTCGCCATTCCTGGACGAGGGAGTGGACGGCATCGATCAATCTGTGTTGGGGAACTGAGTTGAAGAAACCAACAAGGTCGTCATTGGTCGCATTTAATGTGATGTCTGCTGGGGCTTGGAAAAGATAGGAGTGCAAGTGACGCCAAAGTTGTGGAATGGAGAGTTGTCCAGGGTGTTGCGGGAAGAGGTGTTGGAGGATGATGTCGAGCGCCCGACTGGCGATGCGAAAGAGGTTGCCGGCCATGGAGCGGTAAAAGGAAATGATGGTGCGACCTTTCTGCCATTGTTTCTTGGCTTTGAGGTGGACGACGCCGTAAGGGATGGTGGACGACGCCGTAAGGGATGGTGGACGACGCCGTAAGCTCCATTTGTATCTGGATCGAAGGGTGGATGGGATAGTGGCTGTAAGATGTTGGTGGATGT